AAGAGTACAACATTCTTTGTAATACACTTAAAATGATGCCTCGTTAAAAACCTTACCAGGAAAACCCATTGTAAGATAAAATCATGGTTAAGGGAAAAAGAGTGCAACGTGTATTTTCTCCCCCTGATGAATACATAACGTACTAACGTGAAATGTTCAAGTGCAATAAATCCGACGTGATATGGTTGGGTAACTTATTCCATGTAGTAGAACACCATTTTTTTATGATTGATCCTTTCAAATTGAACTTTAATCTTCAAATCTTCACATGGATTTATTGAGACGTCTTCATTTCTTCATACTTGTGAAAATAATACATGTGTTTACCACTATTTCATTCGATAGTTTTGTTTTGAATTATCATAACAATTAGATGTATGCCTTCTTCTGAATGTCATATATACTACAAAATAATGATCAATAATTGATCACATTATCCAAACATAATATCATGGATTCACTTGATATCATCATATATATTTCATTTTCCAGTATCATTTGAATTAAGAAATTAAACTAATTACATATTTTGCTCATGGCTCTTCTGGACCACAAGAATATTATTCTTAATAGTATTTCAACTTTATTCTTTAATTAGACATTTCATGTTTTACATGAGATTTCGCCAATGAATACAAAGACTTGTTGAATCTCACATACTCAAACTTCAGGTTGAGATATCGATGATATAGTCATATTGCCTTGTCATGAGTTTGATAATAATTGCAATGTTCACATATAAAATTTGTAGGGCTATAAATATGTTGTATATAAGTTCTTCGGGAACTTTTCTTACATGATTCATAAATAATATTAGATCAATGTCATATAAAATTTCATCATAATTATAATCCCATTGGAATATAAATTTGTCTTTTTTAATTTTCCATTAAAGTTGTAAATATGTATTCTATGTATATAATGAACAATTACATATACCACGAACATTATATAGAAACTAGCTAATGCATGCAATATGAGATATAGGAATCATGATAAGACATTAAACAAAATATACAATGAATAATCTGTCAGTGTGGATTTTAAAATCCATATTTCATTGGACTTCTGGTCCATGATAAACTTTTAATTATTATCATTATGTCGATATTAAAATGGACATATGTATTTCAGATCTCTTATTCACTGGTCCATTCTATAATGCATATGCATATTATTTATCGGTTCCACAGTATACCGGTATTATAAAATTCAGTAAGATAAAAGTTTGCATGCTAATCTACTATGATATCTGAATACATCTCCAATTGAATTGGTACCATTAAAACTTTTTTTTTTCATATCATAGGTCATCTATTATAATTCTCAGATATCTATATATACCACTTCTATCTACGGTATTTCATATATTATGGTTTTATATCAGCTGCACTATCTTGCCATATACATATCACATATATTGGAACCGATCTTACAATCTACACTTCAGGTTTAGTGATTCAACAAAAATAGGCAAGAACCACTAAAACGCAGGCTCTAAGCTCTGCATTAATCGGCAAAAGAGCCTCTGTCTGATCGATTACTTCAATATAGCCAACATGCCTCAATATTTGTCTCGCCCATCCCATAGTGATATAAGCAAGAGGAAGCCCATGTACTCTCACCCATAGCCTTGTGAGCGTAAAGATCATTTGTTGGGGAACAAAGTCCCTTTGGTACCTCCTGAAATTTATAATTCTTCCGTCAATAACTGCTGTGTTGGTTTGATTCAAGCTAGCAAGATCAAGCTCACTTCGACATTCAAACAAGAAGTAGCTTCCCGACTTATGCACTCGAATTTCCCCATTCCGAATCCACCTTGAATTGACTATGTGTTGTACGAATTCCTCAGGAGGAGGGTGAGGTCCTATGAAGACCCCTATAACACACGAATTGAAATTGATAATGCAATCATCCAGATCAAAATCTGGTGGGGGAGGTATAAGGGGTCTCCCCCATAGATCTAGATTATCACGCTCATTATGAGCATTTGTGGTATTTCTGTTGTTATTCATTAAAAGAAGAAGAAGGCAGTAAGGACAGAGGAGATTTCAAAAGTGATTATAGAGCAGAGAAGAAGACAAAGAGAAAGAATGTTAAGAGAATTTGTGATGGGAATAAATCTGAAAATGCCTTCACTTTTATAGCAGGACTAGAGTGCTTGAAAAATGTAGCAGAGCAAGCATGGGAAACAAGACCTGTCCCAATTTAATATCCTACCCCTTAGCCGCCTCTAGCTAGAAACTGCACCAATGAATGCCAAGAACACTATCAGTTGTTCATGTATTGGCTGCATGTACTAAAGGCTGCGCTCAGAAAACTAAGAGAAGAGGATGCTAATTAAAGGTATGACCCTTTTCTGGAAGCCGAGGAGAATATACTAAACCAAGACAAAACTTTTGTTGGGAGTTGAAACCTGGCTTGGGAATCAAAAAAACACAAAGAAGACAAAGTTGAAGGTCTTTTCTTATAAAAAAAAAAAGAAACGGATATAATCCCCAGCAAAATCAAGAAGAAAATATTCAAACAGAAATCTTAGAGGGAAGATTGAAAAATAAAATTAAGCAGGAACACTACTTAGCTAAAGAACTCTAGCTGGGCTAGGAAGAACTCACTTTTAGTGAGAGATGCTCTCAACTTAGAGAGAGAAAATAGGTGTTCACATCCGACTTAGCTAAAAGTAAAATGTTAGATAATAAAATCGGATCTCGCACAAATAATCAGTTCAATATAGATAATCACATGTTTAAAGATTATGCTGATTTAATAAATTAAGCGTAATCAATTGGATAAATCAATATGGAGTATTTCATGAAATTCATAGGTAGTCATGAAAATAAGATTGATTCATGCTAACTTGAACACAAAATCATCTACATACACTAGTTATCCATGGATTAAAAAATAAAAATAAAAATTAAAATTAACTGGTGGACTATTTCATTTAAGTTAATTATTTAACACTTATCAAGGCTTGCCTATACTCCAGTTCCTACTCGTAGGACTTTTCACATGGAACAACAAATTATAATTAAGGTCTCAAACTCATCCAGGTCAATACACCCAATTATATTTCAAGCCCACTCTAAATATAATTGCAAAATTCCAACATTCTGTTTAGATATAATGCGATTCCGAATTTCCAAAAGGTATAACACCTCTGATTAATTTAATTCAAGTAGGATAATAACAATATGATAAAATCAATAAAAGTAAGGTGAAAAAGATATAGGGATACCTGAATGAATGTATGATAAGGATTACAATTTGATTGAGGGGAGGTGTATATTTAGGAATACTCGTGCAGTTACTATTTAACTCCTTTGTTCGTCTCCTCAGTAATTATGGTTGATTTGGTTAGAGCTGGTGCTGATAACGTGTTGTGAAATAAGGAAAAACATAAGAGATTAGAGAGAATTAATCTGTGTGTCTATTCTATAGAGTAGGGATATACATATATATATACAGATACAATGCTAGGGTTTTGTTTTGAGAATAATAAACCCTAGAATGTTCCGGAGAGTACAGAATATATAGACATCCACATATATTTCATAACAAATTACGTATTGTTAAAAAAAAATACATATATAATACATTTAGGCTTTTAAAAATGGATCAAAAATTGACCATTCATAATTTGACACATCAGTAGAATAATCCTATCTAGGTTGGTAGTAGAGTAGAGGATTTACAATAATGCATCACTTATCTTGAAATCCAGGGAGCTTGGAATTAGTGTAGTTACATATATAGCCCTCTTGGACGTGGATTTTTCGCAGGAAAGGCCGTAGTCGAGAGTTTACATTCAGAAAGCTTTTTGGTATGTAAATCCAAGGCTTTTTAAATTATACAAAATATATTAACTTTATCCTCGAAGATATAAGATATGAGGATTGAGGAACCTAACTACTCATATAAGATATAACCTAATTGGGTGTATGTTAAACTTTCTTTGCGGTGCAAATGAACTTGACAAAATAACTGATAGGTAATCCGTCTTTCTATCCAAAACTATACATTTTAAGTTATTATACAAAATTTTATGTCTGTGGTAAGAATAATTTCTTTTACTATAAAGTACTTCATTAAGGATTTCTATGCTGACAAATTTTTATACTCATGCTGTAGTACTGACTATTGATATAAGGATTTCTATGCTGTCAGATTTTTATACTGATGCTGTAGTACTGACTAATAATGATATATGTTGAACATAGAATGCAAACCCGAGGTTCATTTGTGAGAATCTAGAAAAGAATGAATTACTGTATAACCGCCTTGCTACTTTATCAACAAGCATTCATGTTGCCCTGCACAGCTAGCTTTAGCTTGGTTATTTCATCAGGGAGATGACCTAGTGCCAATCCCAGGTACATTGGCTTACTCTGTTGTAGTATAACATAAATTAGAGACAGGTGTTTAACGAGTTCATCAGATACCAACTTTGCATAACCACAAACATGACAAAAGTTGCTCTATAATTCTATAAGACGTGTAGAGAAATCCGCTCATGAAACCTTTAATTATTTGCAAAAATTTTATGGACATGGTAAATGAAACGGTGAATTTATACATTGATTTCTTTCAGGAACTACCAAACTCAGAAGCAAAGCTAAGTACAGATGATCTGAAAAGAATTTCAGAAGCAATTCCAGTTAATGAGGTCAGTCGAGAACGAGATCCGGAGGTCCTGGCAAAGTTGACTTACAAGTTTGCTGATACCCCTATTCTATGATGCAACTCAATAGCTGAATTTGGACTATAAATTAGCTTTGCTATGTATTTTCTTTGTACACAAATGTTGAGCTTTGTAATTTGACTGCACCATCCTCTGATTATAAAAGGTATAGGATTGGCAAAGAAAAATTTTAGGGTCAAGCAGTGTATGCAATATGCATCCATTTTCGTACTTTTCAGCTACTATGAAATGGCGGCATATTTTTTTATTTTAGCAAATTGAACTACCCAACATTCAATTGTAAAACAAGGCCTTGATATAGAATGATAAAATACAGCTCCCGAACACTTATTGAACCAAAAATTAGTTACGCTTATAAGGGAGTTGAATCAATATATTTGAGAGCATTTATTCTTTAAGAAATATTACATAGCATCATTCACATATGCCATACTATAGGAAGGCCCTTTACATTACTCCAACATATGGACAGAAAGAATAAGAAGAATTACACATTCTCTGCTAATAGATCTATATTTACATTCGTATAATATCACTTCAAAATGTAAACCCCTAGTCTTCATCCGCTAAGGGTCAAGCTCAACTTCCTGCGCACTCAACTCTCCATCATGATTTTTATGATCTCCTTCACCCCTATAAGCAGTCTGCACCAAGAAAATTGTGTTAAATATCTCACATGACAGGTGAAATTGAAAGAATTTTATATTTTCTTCTTTTTTTGCTCACATTTTACAGAAAGTTTACCTCTCTAGACAAATCAACTAAAAACAAGTTTATTTTGCTGGGACTGAAAGCAAATCCACTGCAGGACATATTGCCAAGTTAGTATGATAATACATAGCAAATACTTGACAGCAAAAATTAATGTTTGAGTACCTGGATCACCTTTTCTGTAAGTTTTCACAAAAGAAAATGAAAAACTCAGACTTGCAGTTAACATGCTAAGATTTTAAGATGACACAAACACTAGAATTATGTACATGATGCTAAATTAATAGTTGTACTTAATCAAATAATTTGTGTTTACTTTTCGTTCTTTAATTTTCAATCAAAGGCATTCTTATAGACAATTTTTTAATATCTTTAGGTTTTTTATTAAAAGGCCTGCTCAACTATTTAACAAAATCACCTACATATGGAGCTGTTAGATCTTGCTATCCATAATAAGTATTTTAAATTCAGAATCACTAATTTCAGTCGATTCAGATATTAAGATATAGAATACTTGTCCAAAAGGCTCTCTTGTTTCTTTTAGTTGGCCCAATTCCACTTTATGCATAGATTACAATGCGCACATCTAAGCATAAACATGCAAAAACAAATTATTAAAAAAATAAAATAAATAACTTAATGGAGAAATTGACGCTACCAGTCCTAACTTAGACATTCTTCTTTAAATGGCCTTAATATGAACTCATGGCATTCCCATCTGGGGGTCCTTAAACCAGTCTTTATCTTATTATGGCTGGGTAAACCAGTTGAAAATTGCTATGTGTTGAATTTTAGTGGTCCATTACTAAATAATACTTCTTTTAAGGTGAAAAAAACACAGCCATATGGGAGGGGGTAGGTGTTTAGGGTGGTGAAGAATGATTTTTATTTTTTATTTTACCTTATGAAGCCTAACGAAAATAAAACACGAGGCACTATTAACAGGTCAAACAAGTTAAAATTTTGTTAAGGATTGTATCCCCCCTAAAGTTAGGACTGCCAGCATTGCCATACTTGGAACTGCTTACGTAAAATTTTCCTAAAATAAGTTGATATTATGAAACTACACATTGAGAAAAATCAAACATCCTATGTACAAACTTTTAAAAAAATCAAAGGTACAATAAAACATTGTACATCCGTCATTAAGTTACCCTAAAATGAGCAAAAGTTACCCCCTAAAATGAGCAAAAGTTACCCCTAAAATATATAAAAGTTACCCTAATATGCATTAAAGTAACCCAATACAAATAAAAATTATCTACGCTTTATTAGTAAAGAATCACATTTAAAAAGAATAAAAATCAATTATTAGTGATTGAACGTAATTAAATTACCTTTATAAAACTTTTCTTGTTGTCTATTTATATAAAAATCGTATTATGTTTAAAGTTACCCAAAAAAGGGCAAAAAGTTACCCTAAAATTAGCTAAAAATTACCCTTATACTGCTCGATGTACACTGATTTTAGTGTAAACCAGGTGTATACAAAAGTTTTTCAATTCCATAAGCATGTTTTTCCTTAAATATATTTGTAGATAAAGTATCAGATTCTATTTGCATTGAATCTATAAAATTCCAAAAAAGGACTAACAAAAGAAACAGGAGTATATCCTAGAAAGACAGAGGATACCATTTAGCTACAGCAAGCTGCCACACATATGGAATGAAGAACTCTTCAGGGTGGCTTTCTTGTTCATAAGTGAAACGCAATTGAGTGAACCTCTGGTGAAACAAAATAAATGTGAGGGTTGACAGAAAACTTGTACTCAACATGTTTTCTGAAGATAAATGAAAAAGAACACAAAAATGTTTGTAATTGGACCTTCATTCCTTCCCCATGCCAGGATTTACAATTGTTGGTTATAACCTGAAGCACCTTTTCCACAGACCACTCACCATCTAACTCTTGAGCATCCAGTCGAGTGTTGAAGAAATCTAAAACCTAGATATTGAAAAGAATATCACATTGCATCACATAGGAAACTGCACCATCACCTGAAGAGCTGAAATTAAATCTGAAGTAAGTATTTTGCGAACTCGTCAAACTTACAGTAAATATATTTTCAAGCAGTTCATTGAATCTGGGATGATTCCTGAAGGGCTCAAATATCTCCTGTCTGTGCATCACCGCATAAACAACCTGAACAGATACATATAATTTGCAACTGTAAGGAGATGTAAAGTCACTATTATTGCTCATCACGGATTTAACAATCTAGTATACTGTACCTCAGGATTCCGAGGCAGAGCATACGTCAGAATTGCATTTATTATTTCCAGAACTATCCGCAAGAAATCAGTATAAATATGCAGCTCCATGGACTGTGACAAATTTACCCTTTTAACAACATACCATACCGTACCATACATATCACGGGCACAAGCTATATTAAGTATTTACAGAGCCATGTCACAAACAAATTGAACAATTACCACATCCTCCAACATGTTGTCGCCTTCTGTGGAGTTTACTTTATTTATTTGCATCTTATCATTTTGCAGCTCTGCTAACTTGGTGTACCTGGTTGCATTTTATATGTTAACAAGTATACAAATCACAAAAACTTATAGGTACATCCAGTGTACAGTAATTTCACAGTAGACTGGCCATTTGGGCAACCTTTTAGCAGTTTTGGGGAAACTTTTAACCTTTTTTCAGAATAACTTCTAACTTGTTATAATCTTTAGTGTACAATAAGAGGTGATTTTGAGGGAAATGTTTTATAAAGGTTAATATAGTTACCTTTATACATTAGGAATAATATTTATATGGTAAAATATTGGAGAGCATTTTATCGATAATAGATAGAACTTAAGATTATTTTAGTACAACTTTACACCTGATGTACAATATTTATTATACACTCACCTAATTTAAAAGTTCATCACTACAGCCAGTTCACTAATAAGATCAAAGAAGAGATGAAATAAAGGAAGAACATATACTTTCGAGAAAGCATATGGAATAGGCTGACTAATCTTTGTGATGCATATGCATCCAAACGATGAACATGAGGAGCCATATTCGTCAAAGCTGCCAGACAGTTAGTGTGGAGATAAACATCCTGCACGGAAAAAGCCTCCAAACAAATAAAAACACAAAAAAGATCAAGGTATCTACAGACATAAAAGTTCACAATAGTGTTCTCTATATTGAAAATGAAAAGTGAGAATTAACAAGACCATAGACTGGGTGCACATGTAACCTCTATATTATCAAATGAAAGCATGACAATCAGGCAAGACTTTTCTACAATAAATATGTTGCTTAAGTATTGGAGCAAAGACTTTATAACTAAAAGGCCTACAACCACAACACCCATCCCATAACATCTCCACTCTAGAAAAATGAAAAACAATCATTCCCCAGCAACCAAAGCACCAAGAATTACAAAACACGCAATCACAATAGTCAAATAACCAATGTGAGGATACAGCGTCAATCAATTACCACTCAATAAGTCGTCAGAATTTGTGGTCTACTCACCTAATATTGGTGGAAATAATTCTAGGGTACTTTGAGGATAGGGGGTAGTTTCACTATACTCTTTGATTTCTATCTCTGTCTTAAAATCACTGTATTTCAAAACCAATGAATTAGGAAGTCTGCCTAGTTTTATTATATATATAAATATAAACAAAACACTGCCAAAAACTTCTCTCCTTTTCTCCACCAGAGATCAGTGGGTAAACAAGGGACTTCAGACCAATTACCATCAAATGGGATAAACAATCCCAGACTTTCAACAGGCTGGATACCCAGTAAAAGCAATACAAAGTAAAATAAATTTTAATAAAAAACTTCTGCTTGTTTTCCTTCTCACTGATCTCCTCTATATAAAGGCACTTTCTGTATTTCTTACCTCCCACAACTATAATTAAGTCACTTGCTTCCTCTCCAAGCTAATCCCAACCACCTATATTACCCCTCCTCCTAGACTGGTCTATTTCATTTTGATGTTATGGCTACCACTATGATGTAATCTTCAAATATACACGTATTTGTTTGTTCTAAATTTCAAATTCAGGCAAGGTGATCTAGACAAATGCACAAAAATGGGCTTAGGTAATGTTTAAAAAGCCGAATTTGATTTCAAATGCTTAAATTCAATTCTTCAATTTGAAATCCTACTATTAAATTCCAATTATATGGTTTGGGAAGAAGTAGGAATTCAAAATCCAAACTCCATCATGATGTTTAGTTAATGAGTGGAATTACAATAATATATTTCACATTCAAATTTTAATAATAATTAGATTATTAAAGTATTAGAAAATTAACCCTATTACTACTTTCGTTTTCATGAAATTAAGTTTTTTATTTTTATTTTTTTAAAAAAAACACCATTAGAATTCAAATGATAGCACATTAGCATTCATGACATTTAGATGACTATGAGTACTTTTTTGTTGATTCATGGTACTCATAAGCTCAACAAAATTAGCCCTAAATTTCATATTAATCGCTAAACTTATTATTATATTGCTCTACTAACTCCACTACATATTATATAATAAAATTCCACTCCATTGCCCCACTCCACATTTTCTTAATGCCTAATTTAGTGTAGCAATATACAAATTGAGAGAGTATAATACATGGACACATGTTTCTAGCTAACCCTACTAATACCCACAAATATATATATATATATATATATATATATATATATATATATATATATATATATATATATATATATATACTACAACGATTAGACATGTTTACCCTCTACTTTTGTCAAATCATTGCAAATATTATGAAACTGAGGTAGTGTATATATATATAAATACAAGCATTTGCCGGCAAGGGCATAAATATTGTTCATAAGATAGTGCATATACTTTTATAAACAACTATGATGAAAATGGACTGTTGATTGTACCTGTAGCCTACATAAGTTGTATTTCACAGTTCTTATAAGTATTATGACCATCAATGATCCAATAGATGTATAGTTCAGTCGTCGTTCCTTATACCAAGGCACATTTGGTAGCATCTGCTCCAAGAAATACAGAAGACGGGAGAGGGAAAAGCAAGAGGATACACATTAGTTATGAACTTGATAATGCTAAGCTATAAACTTGGAGACAGCAAACAAAGCCAAGACGGCGGATCTTACCAGCTTGTGAACACTAGCATTGAAAGTAGAATCCTGACTAAGGATAAGCAGAATAATCAACAGCATGTAGATCTGATTTGATGTCCTCTGTGGAGCATTATACAAAATTTCCAAGATAGGCATTAACTGGATAAAGACAATAGCAATGGCAAATTAGGTTAGTCTGCATGGAAGCATTTATCCCTCGCGTCATACAGTATTCAGCAATTTACTACATATATAAGCTTGCTCAGTCACGGTTACAGGTCAATGGTATCACATGATCCATCAAGCAGAACATTGAAGCAACAAATGTTTAAGCCCTTAAGCACCAATAATTATAAAAAAATTAAAAAAATAAAAAAGTTAAGGAAAAAACAAAGGAATAACCCAAATTTTACATCATACCAGAGTATCGAGATCAGTCCGCACTAACACATATTCAAGAAAATCTGCATTCCCATGCACCAAAGAATAGAGAAGCAGGATAGCAGCTTCATCAGCTAAGCACCTGTAATGGGAGCACAGCAGATTAACATTAGTCAGCAGATGATCAATAGAGTTTAAAACTTTCACACTATTTGCTACTGCTTTAAAAATGAGACACATGTTCAAATCAAACTGAGAAAGTTTTCAACAGGGATTGCAAAGACCCAAAGTAGACAGCAGGGAAATCGTATCATCCTTTGATACACACAATATCTAGTAAAAATGTACATTGGTATTGAAGGTTTATTTTGCTGCAGATCAACAGCTACTTGTCAGTAGAGCTGGAAATCTTCAGGCTCTGTTTCAAAATTAGCAGGGAAGACTTGTCATTTTACTGACAGGAAAAGTAATTTTAAGGTATTAACCATATACTAGTTGTACTGATTGCGGCACTCCTGTTCTCATTAAAGTATGGTATCCCTCCTTCCCCAAATTAATTTAAAAGTCATTATTTACTGTTTTGGGATGTTAGTCGAAATTCCTTTCTCCCTCTCAAATTAAGGAATTTAAAACACAATCTCTAATATGCCCCTTCAAAGATTGATTTGCAGAAATGAATGCTTTTCATTCAGGAAAAAATATATAGAAGTAAAGAGGAACTTTCAAGACATGTATTAACTATTTCCATCATTAATAAACAAAAACCAAATAATCTACAGATTCTCTTGCCAGCCCAAGGTTTTATATTTACAAAGAAAAAAGCTGGCTGGCTTTGACAACTTTGGAAAATAAAAAATAAAAAATTCATGTTAAGATAAGTACAATCTAGTCGGTTCTTTACAATTGTTAAGGAAGATGTGCAGTAGGCTGGGTTTGATGCTTATTTGACGGATTTACCTTGATTCGTAGTACTTGTTTGAAATATATATGGGGTGAAGTATCGATTTATATGTTCGTTGATGATGTCTTTGCTTAGGGACAAGCAACGGTTAGGCTTGGGGAAGTTTGATAAGTCCACATTATATAGATTTTATCCCTCGTCCCGTGATCATGTTTTCAGAGCTATTTTATTACAACTATGCATTTGTAAATGTTTAATAGTTTTTGTAGAGTTGGTATTATTTTGTAGGAATTTGCAAATTTACGATGATTCTCGAGCTTATCAAGCCACTACGAACCATTGGAGTTGGATCGCATTTTATGACCGAGAAATTTGAAGCCCAAGGCTGAGCTAAATGAATTGGTTTGGTGATTAAGGTTTTGATTTGTGAAGATGTGCAAAGCTCTAAGAAAGTGCCACAGACCAAAGAAGGCTTTTGGGCCCAAAATCTAAAGAGCTCAGATCCAAAGAAGCTCCAAGACAAGCTAGATGTCACCGGGCCCGATCGAGTGTGTACTGGCAGTTCGAGAGAATGCGCGGCGTCAATGAGCAAATAAAAAGGCGCACCCAATCAGGCAGCCTTGTGCCCGATCAGGCGCACGTTTATGAAATCCCATATTATTTTAAGGGTTTAGATATACACCTTTGGTTAGTATGATCAAGACACATTTTTTTTAACTTAATTTCTAGATTTTAGTTCTAAGCTTTGAGTGCTTTAATTTCTTCCATACTTTGATACTTTTAGTTCTTATTTTCAATCCAAGTTCTGATTTCATAGTTTGGTATAATCTTTCCCCTTTTAACTTTCTTTAATTCATTGTTTTTATTTGCTGATGTTTAATTTATACGCCTTGATTAGGATAGATTTAATTATGCATGAGTAATTTAATTGTTTGGGGATCCGTGACTTTATATTAAGGGATAAATTTGTTCATTTTGAATTTTAATGATTGCATATTAATTTCCTATCGATATTTTGATTATAAGCAATTAGACTTACGCAGGTTTAATTGTTATAGTGACGTAATATTAGGTTAACAATCGAAAGATATAAACTTGATATTGAAGCTAGTTTCAAAAGGTAGCATGTAATTAATAAATTGAGAGAGCCTTTTAATTCTGCTTCTATCAATGTATAAAAAAAGCTCAAGGCACACTAAGGCGATAAGGGTTTTGCAGCGCCTAGGGGTGCCTAAGGCGCGCCAAAAAATTGGCAGAAAATTGCTTCAAAAGTGCCTTAGGTGCACCTCGTGCGCTTTTGGAGCGCCTCGGGCGCCATAGGTGTGCCTAATTGAAAACGCCTTGCCCAGACCCAAAAAAGCTCTTACCCCCTATCGCCTTGCGCTTCAGCGCCTAGGCGCGCCTTAGGCGCACTTTTTCAAACACTGGTTTCTATGACTAATATCAATTTGAGAGAGCATGTTACTCTGATTAATTTGCATCATATTATCATAAGCTGTTGATGGCTGTGCTTTATCCCTAATATATTGTTCATTGGTGAACCTATGTCTTAGGTTTTTTATCATTGAATTTCTCCTTATTTTAATTATTGTTACAGTATAATTTTATAATTAATTAGGAGAAAAAAACATTGTTTTCCTGGCAATCGACCCTACTTCTCTATCTGTTTTAGTTAAAGAATTGTAAGATGTAATTTTCAATAGGTAATACGAATTTAGCATGTCAATTGTGTTGGTTAGGGAAAACTGGAAAGGGGGGAAAATAAAGGAGGATGGTTTTAAGAGATTAAATGACCCTCATATGACCAAGTCAACACCAGAATGCAAGGGGTGTTATTCCAACTAAAAATTAAATTAAGGTGTGTTCTTACAAAAAAAATAAAAAAATAAAATAAAATTATAAGGCGGTTTCTTACAGGAATAGGAAAAAAAATGATTTTAAAGGAGGTTTTTGGCATATTTTCCTTAAAAATCATCATAAAGGAAGATTTAATATTAATTATCTGATTTGAGAGGTTGGAAGGTAGAAAAAGAAAGATCACATAAAATTCAGTGCCTTTTACCAGCTATGAGAATTGACTATGCCCTCAAGGCCGTGGAAAATCTCATTGGAAATTGAGATGAGGTGGTGTTCATAAGATGCACTTAGGGAAGGGAAGGAACAAGGTAGAAGTGAAAGGGAATGCAGGTGGTTAATGGTTTTGTGAGGCTGTTAATTAAGGAAAGGGGATGGAGATTGAAATTGAGCCTAGGGAGGTCAAAGAAAGTCAGAAATACAGGGGAGATAGATGGAGCTGAAATGGTTAAAGAACTGAGTTGCAAAGTTAGATGACAGACTCCAAAGACATGAAAGCAATTGTTAAGGGGGGAAAGTTACTCCAGCAGAGGGGGCTGGGTAGCTATTAACCCCAATTTAAGGAAAATGTATTATACCTTTAAAAGTATATCTCCAACCCAGCCAAATAAAAAGTCATACATTCCCTCATCCCATTTTTCTATCCTTATAAGTTATAACTAGCAATCTATAATATCAAAAGAATTTCAGGAATTCTTCCACACAACTGTCTGCAACATAAAAAATAAAAAATAAAAATAAAAATAAAAAAGACAATGAATAGATCTGCAAAATGTGGGGGACGAGGTTAGAGCTACGGGGAAGCCAAAAAGGAGTCGGACACTCAAATTCCTAAAGTAAAGTAGAGTTTGACAGAAAAAAAAAAATGCGTAATGAACATATCAAGTGAAATAGATATCATTATTATGAATTATTAGTAGAAAAAAGACACTCACATTCCTAAAGTATCATAAAGAGAGGCAAAGGGTACCCTTGCAAGTGGGCCACTGTGAGCATTCCCCTCAACATCAAGCCGATCAACTGTAAAAAGATGACTATTCAAACCCCCCAAAAAAAATGGAAGGAAGAATATAAACCGAAGCACTTACATTCAACATCCCTTGCGTTTTCTAAAGCCTTGCAAAAAGGATTTTCACAAAAATATGTCTTTTCTTTATGCAAAGCATCTGAAGCACCATTACCATCATTTTTACCAATAATGAAATCATCAGCAACAGCACTACGAAAATGTACAAGAATAAGAAGTATATGAAGACTGCTCTGTGCCAACAGACTTTTTGAAGCTTCATTGTTTGAACCAACAGTGAGATTGAGTGGAAATAACACAAAATTAGCTGCAAATGCAATGCAAAAGTGTCAGCACAGCTTAACAACAAATGATGGTACAAAAGCAGGGTAGAAGGTAAAGAATAGAGAAATTAACCTTTCAAACGCAGGATGATAGTTCAAAAGTAAATAATTTTTGGAAAGCGGCCTACATTATAACTATTTTACTAAATCATGAATCTTTGATGAGTATCGTATACAGAGGTTACAATGTACATACATGATTTTTGGTAAGTGGACTTAGACAACATCTAGGTCATCTACAGATGTTTCAAAATCCAAACTACAGATAGATCAGTACATAAATAAATAAATAAAAAATAAAAAAAATAAAAAAAGGATTCTTAACCACCTCTCTATCGTCACAGTGAACTTTCAATTTGTGCAGAATAATTCAATCACAAAGTTTCACATGGAACTTCCACAAACTTAAAGCATCTTGCTTTGGTGGCACAGTTGATGACATGTTTGCTAAAAAATCTATCCAAATATATTGACTACCCTGAATTTCAATATCTTACAACTTTATCAACTTCAAACATAAAAACTCAAATTATGTAATTAAGTCAACTTCACAAATCTTAAACAAATTGAATCAAAAGGAGATCAGCACCAATAAAAACTAGCAATACAATTGGCAGCAATAAATCAATTACATTATCCTTATAGAATAATATTAGTGGACAGACAATTAAAATTCTTCCCCCAGAAGCCCAACCACTACTCTACTAAGACTAAGATAAAAAGTTGCTGCATTATAAACATGGGTACTGCCGTTGGCATCAGAGATGATGGCTTGTATATTAGGTTTATTTCATCAAATATAACATTTAATTTGTGGTAAACTGCTATTCGACGACATCAGGGTTGCAGTGGATATAACATATCCCAATCTGCAATTGATACTTAGGAGCTTTACAATGATGAAGTGAGACTTGGCAAAAGCTGTTGAAAAATCTAATTACAGGAAGTGACATACTGATATGTCTACTTGAAGGGACAAATCATGAAGTTTCGTTCAACAAGCACGCACTACAAACAAGCAATTTAAATGAGCAATTACGTGCACTTAGTCTAATTACGTATTGTAATACATCAATAAAAACAACCAAAGCAATCTATATTGAGTTCAAATAAGAAAAAAGAAAGCAACATCATCACTGCCAATCAAAAATTTCCTAGTTATGCTCTAAGCAGGGGTTAATTAGTCATAAGAAATACAATTGTAAAAAATAAGTAAAGGAGATATATGCATCAAAGACATATTTACCAGCAGCTGATCCAACTTTTTGTAAGACACCAGACTGACTCCCTTCAAAGGTAGAGTAAGATGCACCGCTAAAGCCACTCAGTGATTGGGAAATATAATTTACCAGCAGCTTAGAAACCACCGATGCAACCAGAGAAGCTTCCTGAAATTTTAGATATTAAGTACATGATAAAATTGTAAGAGAGCTATGGACTTAGACTATCACGTTAAAACTGATAAGCAATTGCTATTCCCATCACCTGAGACATAATAGCATCTAGAAATGGATGGAAATCCTTTGGTCCTGATGATGGGCCAGACAGAAGCTGAGTCGACATGGCGGCCATCATGAAGTTAAGCAGTTCACAGTGAAGCTGGTATGTGCGAGGACTAGCATTCCAAGTGAAGCAGTATCAGGACAATGATGGACTTATGGAAACAATTATTTAATGTATAAATATTAAGGAGGCATTTCATGGTAACATTTGGAGTGCCTCACAAGCAATAATTAAGATCAGACGAATGGTTAAATAGATTATATATAACTTTAGAATTGAATAATTAAGGGGCCACACATAAGTAAAAATCAACAAATGGGATATGCGACTATAAATTAATCAAATCAAAATATATAAAATTTAACTTTTGTTATCGACAAACAGAATAAAACTAAGAAATGACATTTTTACATTCTAAATCAATAAAAAAAATAAAGTTTATCTTTTTCCATATAATCATCCATCCCTAATTATTTAACAGTTTAACAAACTTTTCTTTCTTTCCATAAATGGCATGGACACACTCATTTTTTTCTCTCTCTCACTTCACTTTGAACCCACTATCCACTAAGGCACTATCTATAAAATAATACAACAATAGCAACAAAGCCTTAGGGCCTGTTCATATTTATTGAACTGAGCTGAGCTGAGCTGAACTGAAGTGATTGGAGCTGAGCTGAACTAAACTGATTGGAGCTGAACTGAACTGAACTAAGATGAAATGAATATTTTATGAGAGAGGGAAATTAAGAGCTGAACTGAACTGATTAGAGCTGAGCTGAACTGATTGGAGCTGAACTGAACTGAAAATAAGTAAATATGAACAGGCCCTTAGTCTCCAAATTATGAGTCATCATAAGGAACTGTATGATATAAAAAGGGACCCACTATGCACAAATAACTATAAATAAATATTGTGAAAAAAATTTGAAAAAAAAAGACCCATCATCCACATACTATTAGAAAAAAATATCCCAATACCTACGCCTATATATAATCCACTACCTATCCTACAATAAAAATAAAATTTTAATAAAATATGCCTAAAACATTGTGTTGGTCAAAGTCTTTCAACTAAAAAAGGATGGAAAGAGTATTTGACAAAGTTAAAATAAATAAATAAAACTTATATAATTATAAACATAAAAAAAATCCAAGTGTGACATAAGTTAAACCCGACAAATGATGTCCGGGGATTATAAATTAATATACTTCTTCCGTTCTTTTATTATTGCACCACTTGCCTTTTTAGGAAGTTTCACAAATAATGCACCATTTCCTCTTTAGGAAAAAAATTATTTGTGTTCACATTACAAATACCCAACATACCCTTGTTTTTTCACACTTAGTTTTTAGTTAATCAATATGTCACATGGGCAATTTTATAATTTTACCTTTCTCTCTCTTACTTTTTTCCACTACCAAAATATTTGTACCCAACCCCTATGATGCAATAATAAAAAATCGGAGGAAGTATAAAATATAAAATTACTTCGTATTTTTTTGTACTTCCTCTATTTACTAAAATTGCAACACTGGGGGTTTGACACATAATTTAATACAAGATAGAGGGGAAAAAGTTTAAAGTAAACGGTACTTCCATTATTCCACAAATATTGCAACAATTACCATTTTAGGAAGTTCCACATATATTGCAACATTTCTCTATTTGCACATGTTTTCTCTCATTCACTCTCTTCATCACATGGGTCCCTATCTTTATTCCTCTCTATCTCTCTCCTCTTATAAAAATCTATGTCCACACCCATGTTGTAATATTTTGGAAAAGAAAAAAGTACTTCCTCTGTTTCTTTATACTTGCAACACACTTTTTCACGATATTTAAGAAAAGTGGGGCTCATAAGATTTATTACACTTAAAATGAGGGTGAGAGCTGGTTAGAGTATAATTTACTAAATTTAGTGGGTCATGTGCTTAAAATAAGGAAAATAGTTCAACTTTTAACAAAAAAAAAAAAAACTTTCTAATTATAGTGTGTTGCAAGTATTGTGACATTTCCATTTTAGGAAAGTGTTGCAAGTATAAAGAAACGGAGGAAGTATATATTAAGGAAGATAGAGAGGAAAGAAGAGAGAAAGAGTGGGCCAAGTATGTATAAAGTAGGTGTAATGTGTAAAATGTTGTAACAGTTAGTTAAAAAAATGTTGCAATAATTTTGAAACATTCCAAATCAATAAGTGTTGAAATTATTTTATAACAGGAAGTATAAGAAATTAACTCCAAATATTGTAGGGGATTTCATTATTTTAACATTTTATGGTATGAAAATTAAAAATTATAATTACTCCGTATATTTTTTGCCATGGAAGGAAGATTTAGGTTTTTTTTCCTTAAAGTAGTCAAAGGTATTGTTTGATAGTTCCTTAAAAAAAATGTTCTGAGTTTTGTTTTGGTTTACCTCTACAATATTTACAACTTTGTAAATCTTTTCATGACAAAAGTTAGATCATAGAACAATCTACTGCAAAAGCACACTGATTCTCATTAATTTTCATGAAATTTTGAAGAAACAATCTAAGAATGGAAAGGGAAAAACATATTATACATTATATATTTGGTTTTATTTGTTTTGAGTTAGAGCATTAGGACAACCACATACAACGCTAGTGAATAATAATTTTATTTAATTGACATATAAGCAACTACCTAAAAATAACAAATGAGATCATAGAATTAAATTAAAAGAAATTTTATTTGTGCCACATAAGCAAATGATTGTCTTTTGCTTTAAGAAGATTCATATCCAGATAAATTATTATTTAAAAGAATCTACCTTGATTTGTAAGAAAAGAAAAGAAGAGGAAAGAAGAAAAACTAAATAGATGAAGAGACCACAGGAGACAAGTATACAAAATTGTAGATAATAAAAAACTGGCATGGGCTTAAATTTTGTCCTAATAAAAAAGAAATTTTGATTTCAACTTCCATACCTAGCCTCAACGGTGCCAATAAAGCTAAGTACACTGCAGATGATGATATTTTCAACACTTTGATCTGCAGATCAGGAAGAAAAATTAGTAATCCTACAATTCTCTATTTTTATTGGGGAGTGGGGTGATGTCAACACAAATCAGATTTAAAAAGTAGCATCCGCATTCATTGCAAAACGTCAAGGAAATAAAACTTAAACATAATTCCTTCACCATATATGGGACATCATAATGTTCAAGTGGCCCACAGATGGCTCCAGAGTAAGCAAGCAACTAAAACAATAATAAACTAGAACAGAGAAGAGGGTGAATAAAGAAAGTTCCCCAATGCCAGCCTAAGGAATTGAAAATAGATCTTCATAGTCCAAATAGAAAAGATAAATGAGATGTAATTCAAACAAATTACAGCATGTAAAGCCCAGAATATTCTCAGTAGCAGTGTTGGCACTGATTCCAAACTTTCAAGCATTAGAACAGGGACGTAATATTATATAAACTAACTTCAAAAATTGTAACAGCTTTCCTAAAGAGCTATTGAAATGGTACAGAAGCTACTGAGTCCATCTGGATCACTGAAAAGGGAAAGTTCCCTTGAGGCACAATGGAACAAATCAAAATATTCAAAAAATGCCTCTAACTGTTTCAGGATAAAAAGGCCGGCCTCAGGCACCATTTATAGTCCTTTCTTTTGCAATTTTTCTATCAAATTAAGGTTATAAGGAGAGCCAAAATCATAAATTCACTAACATAAGATATAATAACACAAAGCTACTAGGGAAATAACAGTCACTCTGATAAGTTATTTCAAAAGTTACAGGCATCAATTGTGTACAAGTCTACATTTAAAATTTGCTAAAAGAACATTTTTTTTTTTTTAATTGAGGTTGCTTCCACAGAACCTATGTGTGCGCCTTTGTTTCTTACCTTACACATTACGTATTTATGCTAGAACTTGATCAAATAGACAGATATCAAGCCAGGTAGTTGCAGCTTCTTTCTATAATGATTAATGACAATAAATTACTACCTCCACTTTCAAATGTAAGTCATTTTGGCCTTTTATTATTTTATTTAAAATATAAGCCATTCTATAATATCAATGGTACATTATATTTCTTGAAAACACTATTGCCAGATTGTTGATATTATTATTCTAAAATTGAATTAACTAATGACTTTTATTTTTGGGTTTTTCTACATGGTACCCCTGAGTTATTGGGTTTTCTAAATTGTACCTTTTTAAATCCAAAGTTCTACAAAGTGTCCCTGAGTTTTTGGGTTTTTTCAACGTGGTACCCTTGAGTTGTAAAAAAATGACTCTAATTTAATTTGACTCAAACCAACACCGTCTAAATGATCTATTTACCATTCTATATTTATATTAGATGGAGGAATCATCAATCTTCATTATTCGCTATTTAGTGGAACTTTTGTACGATTGTTTGAGATGGAAGATAAGACCTTTTTTTTGCTCCTATAGTCCTACTTAACTAAAAGACCATGTTTTAGAGGGGACTCAAGTTGTTAGTCCTTTTTTTCGCATTAAACACACTAGTTGTGTCTTTGAGGGTGCTAAATAAGTCGTTTAGATGTTGTTGGTTTGAGTCAAATTAATTTAGAGTCGTTTATTTTACTAATCAAGGATACCATACAGAAAAATTCAAAAACTCAAGTGTATAATGTAAAATAAACTAATAACTCAAGGTCACCTTGTAGAAATTTGAATTTAGGAGGGTATAAGGTAGAAAACTCAAAAACTCAAGGGTACCATGTAGAAAAACCCTTTATTTTTTTTATTTTTTTATATATTTTTTAGGAAATGTTTATAAAGTGATTAAAATCCCTTATATTATTTTGTAACAGAGGAAGCATCTCTCGATCAATTTAGCCTATCAGGAGATTATCAGCATCTGCCACCAGCAAGCTAACTATTAAATGATACGGAGTAACACTTGAGCATGAAATTTATGTACTAATCTTAAAATTATATAGAAGTGGTCACCCTTTCTTAAAAATGTAGTAGATAACAAAGGCAAAATGCCAAATTATGCATCCTCATGGAAGTAGTAAATGTAGAGAACGTCTTAATACCTTTCTGATTTGCTTAAATAGCATATTAGAAAAAAAATATTAATTCAACTTCATTATATTTAAAGACCTCCATTCAAGAACAAGCAATTTTCTATGTCATATCACTAGCATCTACAAAAATTTTAATCAATTATATGCCAATACAAATACTACCTCCGGTCCAAATTAGTGGCAACTTTGGAATATTTTATATCTCACAAATAATACCCCAAAGTTGCGAGTAATTTGGAACAGAGGTAGTAAGTACAAAAATCATTTGCGATTAAAGTACACTTTAAATCTTTAATTAATAATAAGTAAAGTTCTCTTTCGGGGGGTGGGAAGGGAGAGGAGGAAACATAAATATGCTAGGCCACTCTTAAAAACCAATGTAATAATTTCACTTAAAAAGTAAGAAATCACATGACAAATAACACAGATGTTTTCACACAACACATTCAATGCACAAAAGGTACCAATCACTAAACATCTTGTACCCAAACCCAGCACACTATATAATTACCTTTAGGCAAACCACTTGGTACCTCGTGATCAACCAGGGAAAGGTGTAATTCCTCAAAGTTTCCAGTCTTGCTATTTTCTATTGTATGTGTCAGAAAAACTGAAGATAAGTAGGCAGCATTCAGAGCCTTCGTAAAGGTAATGGATGGAGCACCAGGGCATGAAATACAATCTTGCAAACAATATGATAAGTGGATCAAGAGTTTCGCAAGATGCCTTGTGTAATAGTTGTTCTGCGCTGCATGAGCAGGGAGGTCAAAAAACAAAGACTGAGCCAGTAAGCAATCATTTTAATTCATACCACGTACTCAGTGTGAATACATAAGGGTGGGGTAGTCAGGATACTGAAAACATACAGCTAACAGTATCTAAAACAGTGAAAAGTGTACAGAATAATAAAAAATTAAAAAAAGGTACTACAGATATAGTGATCTCGACTACTATTTGACTTTTGAGATCCTCAATAATTATAGCTGCTGAAACCAACTTTCACATCTACCAGTTTAGAAACTTAACAGTTATTAAAAATAAAAAAATAAAAAAAATATAAATAAATAAATAAATAAATAAAACCCAACAAGAATAGTCTCACTTGAAGCCATCCTTTTTTTCTGAAATAAAAATCAATCTCCCTTCCATCTACTCCGTGAAACCTTGAAAACATCCTAAGAAGACCCAAGTACTCCCTTATTCCCCTATAAACATCATAATAGACCTTTTGTGATCTCCAAGATCAATCTCTTGGCAAACACATATCAAATAAACTAAATTTTATTGCAAATACGTAATTCAGAGTTTCCGGATTCCTCAAAATTCAAGACTTACATTGATCATCCAAGTCATACTTTCATATTTAGGAAAAAGAAAGAAAGACCTCCTCAAATTTAAAATCAGTACTTTGAAAACCACCTACAAAACAGGGTCTTGGTAAAAAATTGTGTGCCTTCTGCCAGGCCCATAGAAGCAATAACCTAGCAACCCCAACAACAGCAATTATATAAGGCCACATAAGTGTGAGCTTCAGACAAAGTATCTATGAAAACAATGGTAGGGGTTCAAGAATTGATTATGACTGGCAGTAATAATTTCTCATTATATGAGAATCCCCAATAATGTATATCTTTTGGAGTTTGGAGAAACTTTTCTCCATGTTTCAAACACCAATCAGTGGACTAGCAAGATATCCTATACATGAGTTGGATCATGGATATGGGCTTGGGTTCTCACACAAATAGTGATGGATTTATCATCAGATTGATAATAATTGATGTGGTGATGTAATTATTTATAGGGACTCCAGAAATTGTCATCCAGTTTTGATGTAGATGTTTTGTTTTTTTTTTCAAAACATTAATTTTTTTAATGGAAATAAAATTCTCACAGAGAGTAACTGATCCAGTCAATGATGTCTGTGCAACTTCTAGAATTGTATACAACCTTTAGAGCCAGAAGGAAGTTGCCACAAATTTGTGACTGGATCCATGAGTTTCCATGCACATAAATTATGTGCAAATTAGTGTTCTTGTACATCAAAGTACCAATGCAATGAGCGGAAGCCAGCAAATAAGATGATTTGTCCTTATTGCCACTCTAATTGTTTCAATAACTGGAAAAGTTTAAAAAATGTATCGTGAAATGCTAATATCTTAACTTGTGCCAATTTCAACAAGCTTACTCTTGCAGTATAGTTGATTAGTTGGTAACCTTAAGTATACTACTATACTTGGGGCATACTTATCACAAAAAAAGTTAAGGATTTCACTGAAACGAATCATTGTTTCTTCCTTTAAAGCTTTAAGCATGGGTATAGTGGGAGGAACTTAAGCTAATGGCGAAGATAGTAGAGAAACCCTTACTTTAGATTGGTTGTGTGGTCACACTTGAATACAAAACTTTTATAAAATTTCAACCTATAAGAAAATTTGTTTAGTCTTCTAAATCTTTGTTCATGTTTGGTGGTTTTCAAGGCCTTCAGAGATTATACTGGACAACTGGGAATCTGTATTATGGTAGTGAATAGTGATTCTAGGGGGAAAAAAAAAATTAAATTAGATAGGTGGCGATTTTGTCAAGATTTAGATAGTGACCTCATATCCATTCTTATATACATAAAATCACCCTTGATTCTCCAATTTTCGGCTTCTAATCTGCTCTTTTTTTTACCTCTATATCACTGCAGTCACTTAGCCACTCATGAATGCATAACAATGAAATATGAAAAGCATCTGAAGATCATAGGATTCCAAAAACGAGCAAGAAACAAAGCTCTTGACTACATTGAAGCACACACCACTACAAATCCTGAAACATATATACAAGTACATAATCAAAGATAATCCAATATGGAACCAGGAAGAAACCTACAGAAGTACACAACCTAAACATAGGACAGAGGTGTCAAGTATCATAAAAAATGCCTTCATCAGCTGATCAAAAATTAAACCTAACCATTACTCATATGTATGTTACATGGACTCGGGTGCCCATGTCCGACACGGATATGTGTCCAAGCGTCCGACTAGGCTATTTTGTGAAGAAAAAAAAAAATCCATGGTTTTGAGCCAAAAGTGATGTGTCCAAGTGTCATACCCATGTCTGAGTGTCAAGAGTCCGACATGGGTATTTGAGGTGAAATGAAGATTTCATGTAACATAATCATAACATTTTGCAAGGCAGGGAAAGGAATTAAAATACTACTAATAAAAGTGTATGATTTCCCTTTTTCAGGCTCGGAAACAAATTGACATAAGAAATGTTGCTACTTTTTGACTGGTTAGATAAAAGAAATATTCCAATCCGTTATTAGCGGATAACAAATTGTCTTCAACTGTTACCCTACAATCTTTGGCGGTGAAAAATTTACTTCAGTCACATATTATGCTATCACTCATTTCATGTCTATATACTTTCAACGCTTATGTTTGCATGTGGTTTAAGAAAAAAAAAGTGGGTAGTAAATGGAACGCGATATTATATTGTGCAAGTGGGGTAAATGGGGGTATATTTAATTGTTTGTTGGAAGGACAAACAAAAACAAAAAAAAAATTGATTACAAGTAGGATTAGTAGGAAAGAGAATCAATAAACTAATAGTGGGCTCATGCGAAAATAGAAAGTATTGCAAGTATTCTGAAATGCTTTCGAGTACGGAAACATAAAAGCCCCCTAGCTCACTTTTCTTCATTGTTTTGGTTTATCATGATTTAGATTTCTTTCTCCTCTGCAAATGGCAACCATAACACCATCACTCCTTAACGTTGATTTTGATTTATGGATAATATTCCTCTTTGTATTTATCAATGTTATGTTCAAACAGCTGCTTTTTGATTCCATAAACATAGATCTAAAATTTCCATTTGCATTAACTTAGCAGCATTACAGTAATTATTGTAATAGAATATACTACCTCTATTTCTCTTTGTTCTACTCACTTTTCATTGAGGTCCTATCTTTGTGTTTACATCTCTTTCATCTTTCTCTCCTACTTTACGTACCTTTTTCTTATACATAACCACCTTTTTCTCCATCCCACATACTTAACCAGCATATTTTTAAACTGCTGACCTATTTCAAAATATTCATAATATACATATCCACAATATCTACTAGTAGCTTAATATAAGACGGATGAAATTATCAATGACATTAATTTGCAGCAGTATTTGGTTTTTATAAGAAAATGTATATATTTCATACAATCTCAAATGTAATGGTTATCAGTACTGTTTCCAATTCTAATGTGTTTCCATTACAATCCATTCCATTTCCAACATCTAAAACAAATAGAAACACCCCTTAAATCAATACTTCTAACCTATGTTACTCAACATTTGTGTATTCTTGACATACACAATAACCACTCCAAACTGGCTATTTCGTGGAAATTTTCCATGATTTCTGCCCAAATTGATGTGCCCAAGAGTCCACACCCATGTCAAAACGTTGATGATCCGATACCAGTATTTGAGGTAAATTGAATAGCCCAAGTTTCAAAGTTACTAGCTATACACAATCTCCCAAACCCAACATCAATCAAATTCAACTCTAAAACCCTGCTAATTAAAAAACCCACAAAATATTCCCCAAATTAAATTCAATCTCAAACATATAATCAAATAACAAAGCAATCTACAACAATGTGATAACAAATCAAGTTAAAATGCATATCAAAACAACCTCAAAATCAAATTTAATCAAATGCACAAAAAATTAACTAACCCAAAGAGTCGCATGCTTGACGAACACGATCAGGAGGCCAATGGAATTGAAGGGGTAATTCAAGCAATTTGTGCCAAAATTCAGAGGTAAGAGGAAACGATTTCTCACCGACAAAGGTAGCGATGACATACTCAACCGTATCCTGCGGTACAACACTAGCGTTACGCGGCGTAGATGGTACGGAACCCATTTGAATTGGATCACAATTAACGAGTCAAATTGGTTAGAATCAATCAATGCAACTCGGTGAATCAATCAAATTGGTAAGGCAGGAGGAATAGAATTACATTGCAAGGAAGAGAATGGAGTAAGAGATTGAGGTGTGGAAATTGAGGGGAGATTAGAAGGAGAAGAATGCGAAAGAAAGAATAGAGTGAATGACAAGGAAGAGTGAGTTGAGGAACAAAAGTTGAAGCAGATCAAGAACAGATTTCAGCATATTTTGTAGCACATGGGTTTTCGGTTACTTTTTTTCTATTTTTTTATTATATTTTTTTTTATTGTTAGAAAATAAGGTGAATGCCAAATCACCAATTATTGATTTGATTTTACAATATCCATATAAGTTCAAAGTCTTGTGAACTTATATGGCAATATATGAGCATGATTGAATTGTACTCTTAGTATAGAAGTTTTATATTTAAATATATGATGTCATGCAAGAAATACGATGCATTAAGACCACTCTCAATGGTGAGCAAAAAAAATGCTCACCCACTCTCTCTCTACCCACTTTCTCTCTCAACAAATTATTTTTGCTCATGGCCAAATTTTTTTCACATTTCCTCTCCCAATGGTGAGCAAAAAAAATGCCCACCCACCACTCTCTCTCTCTTACTTTTTCAATACCCCACCATTACTTTCTCTCTCCTACACAACACTTCTTTATTTATTTATTTCATTTATATTTTAACAATGTTACTCCAAATTTAACATTTTTATTTATTTTTTTATTTTTGTCTTTTTATCGTTAAAATTTGTCGTAAAATTAAGTACGGTATATAAAAAAATTGTAAAAAAAAGCTCAAAATTTGTTAAATGTTTTTATTTATTATAAAAGCAGTACAATACTAGAAACCAATTACATTTGCAACGTCATGCGTAATTAAACTTAACAACAACTAAAAAATAACTCGACTGCGTAAGGAAAAGTAGCTATGCCATAGTACTTGGCTTTATTTAAGTCGTCTAATTTCTCCCTAATTACGTGGCCCGTATCGTTGCCAAATATGTTCGACTAAATCACGTTTCAGAGATAGATGAATTTCTCTGTCACGGAGGGTAGCTTTTCGCTGTAGAAATGCATTGAAGTCAAAGTTGGTAGGTCGGCCTACGTTGAATTCAAACGGTGGCGTTGTAGATGTTGATGCTGGTGTTGATTCTTGTTGCTCTTCTTCGTAGAAGGCTCTCAGAACTTCGGCTCGAGTGTAGTTGTGGCGCTCATCTTCAACTACAAATTTAGTAATGTATGGAGAAAATATCAACAACTTTCTTCAATTACATAATGCAATTAAACAACATGGTTTTCAATATTTTTTTTTCAAAAAAAACACACATATAATAATTTTAATACATAACTAAATTTATATATTAGAAAAAAAAGCAAATATATCAAATAAATGCAACACTTTTTTTACTACAAATTTAGTAATGTATGGAGAAAATATCAACAACTTTCTTCAATTGGGTTTTTCAATTAAGTAAACATGGCATATAATATTTTTTTTTTCAAAAAAACACACATATACTAATTTTAATACATAACTTAATATTAGAAAAAAAAAAGTAACCAATAAATGCAACACTTTTTTTACTACAAATTTAGTAATGTATGGAGAACATATCAACAACTTTCTTCAATTACATAATGCAATTAAACAACATGGCATACAATATTTTTTTTTTTCAAAAAATCACATATATACTAATTTTATTACATAACTGAATTTAAATAATAAGAAAAATAAAAAAAAATTACCTCAATATGGGTGTATTGCAACAAAAATGCTCTTCAACAAATTTAAAATGCTTAAGAAAATAAAAAAGTGGAGGATTTTAAGTGATTTCCAAAATATATCAAAATATATCAAAATGCATGTCTATTTTTAGAGAATTTAATTTTATGACCGTTGGTAATTTTTTTTTTTTTTTTACCAAAAATATTTTTCAGAAAATGCATTACAAACAATATTACCGTTGTAAAACGGCTAATTTTTTCATTGGCCAAGCTCCTGCAGTACGCCACGTGTCGCGCGCCTATTGGTTGGCTTACTGACGCGAACAGTAGCCGGTTTTATTTATTTATTTATTTTTTACGTCAAAACGGCGCGTTTTGGCCAGCACCATTAAGGCTGCTAGCCCAAAACGCGTTGTTTTGATGGTCTGGCAGCCAAATTTTTTTAAGCTTATTTGCAACATGTGGGCCCCACTTCCAGCACTGTTCATCAATTAAAATGCCCATACTTTGGGCATTTTCATTTATGCCCATGGGCTTTTTCTTGCATTTTTGGATTTGCTCACTATTGTGGGTGATGAGCATATTTTTTGCTCACAAAATATGCCCATGAGTAAATATTTTGCTCATGGTTGTGAGTGCTCTAATATTATTACACTACAATTTTATACTGATCCCATTTTACTCCTTATTTGCTTTCCTTTTCACTGATTAAAAGACTTTTTATCGGTAAATATTTAACACGTTATTAGCACCATTTTCTAGTCAGGTATATTTATACCTACTTTTAAAAATTTATAACAAGTAATACTATCTACTTCTAAAATGTTTTGAGGAGTATGCTCTATAGTTGCCCATATTTGGGATCCTCTATACCAGAAACTCAAATATTTACTGTATTATATATACCTCAAAAACAATGGTGAAAAAAAAAAATCTCTTACTTATGAATTCATTACTATCCTCTTTTGTTTGTCACGTTGATGTTTCTTGTTTTATTCATGTTGATGTTTCTTTGTTTGATTCATGCATGTTGATATTACATGCCCATGTTTTACGTAAAATTTGATCTTAGTTATTACAATTGCTTAGTACTCCCTCCGTTTTAAATACTTGTTCCATTTCTCCATGCGCGGAGTTTTAGGAGAAATTGGAGAAAATAATAAAATATGGAGGTAGTGGGTAGTTGAGAGAATAAAAAACTTTAAAAAGTAAAAGTAGTGGAAGAAAAGGAGGAGAGAGAGTATTATGTTGGGTCCACTTAGTGTAAGAAATGAATTAAATATTGTAAAAGTTTTCCAAAAAAGGAAATGGAGCAAGTATTTAAAAACGGCCGCAAAAAGAAAGTGGAGCAAGTATTTAAAAACGGAGGGAGTAGTAACTTTGCATGCATATTATTAACTAGATTAACAAAAAGATGCAGCTTTTTGTACTTATTATTTTTCTTACTTTCGTATACTTTTTGTGTTTCCTTCCGTTTTCAAACCCATGATCTTTTATAGATTTTAAGGCTGTCGGACCACTATGGCTTGCATTCCCAGTGTGATAACCTTTTACAATTAAATATATATATTTGGACCATAATTTTTGTCAGTATATTAGATTATTATATGATATTTTTACAGTTGTACAGAATAGTAACGGATAAACTTACCTCTATAAAAGGTAGATTTTTCCCCCGATTTCACCACAAATCCCTTATCCCTTCCTACTTTTTATCCAAAAATTACGTAAAAATTTTATCACCCCCTTCTTCTCCGATATGTTCCCCGACGACGACAACCAAAACACCCACAACTTCACTTTTGAGGAAGATTTAATGAAGATAAAACAATATTTCCTTCTAATTACGGCGCTTGTAATTTTATTAGTAGCAATATTAATTTTTGTCATTATGCACAAGTAAAACTCATTTATTTTGTCGTTTTAGTATATTAAAAGCTTGTTTTTGTTTTATTATGTTGGTTTGTTGTTATTAATCATCATTGTATTATATCACCGTTATCATTAAAATTGTTGTTACTATTGTTATTGTTGTCGTTTTGCTTTTTTTTTTTTTTTTACAACTAACACGATTAATTTTTGCTTAAATACTCACAATACTAAACCAAGGGGGAGAAAAAGACTATATTACTTATGGTTTATAATTGTTAAATTTAATTATTACTTATTTTATTAACCTAACTATAGTTATGGAGGGACTAAACATATGTGTTGTACATAAAAATTAATATAAACTAATTATCACTTAATTTATTGTAGCCAAAATGGGAGACCTTATGAAATTTCTGGAATGGAAGGAGGATGAAATGATGAATTTGAAAGCTCAAGGCTTGGAGCACACTGTTAAAGAAAATAAAAGCCCCTCTGGTCAAACAGTTGATGCTACCACTTCTGCAATGACGGTTGTAAAACCTATCACTGAAGAAGATAAGGCAAAAGCCATAGTGTTGCTAAGGCATCATTTACATGAAGGCCTTAAAACTGAGTACATGATGGTAGAAGATCCTAAAGAATTATGGGATTACCTTAATGAAAGATTTGGACACCACAAAAGGGTGTTCCTTCCTAAGGCATTATTTGACTGGACGAATTTACGGTTCTAGGATTTCAAATCTGTAATTGATTATAATACAACTATACATGAGATAGTATCTATATTGAGATACTGTGATCATCCAGTCACGGATGGACAAATGATTGAAAAAACACTCACTACCTTTCATGCAAGCAACATAATGTTGCAAGAACAGTATCGTGAAAGAGGTTTCAAAAAGTTTAATGAATTAATGAGTGTATTGCTTGTTGCGGAACAAAATAGTGAACTTTTGTTGAAAAATCATAACCTTAGACCAACTAGGTCTTTGGCCACTCATCATGAGGCAAATGCAACAAATTCTTATCCACCCAAGTCAAATGCTTCACGAAGAGGTAGACGTGGAAATTACAATGGCCGTAGAAGAGGTCGTGGAAATTATCGCGGACTTGGCCGTGGTCGTGGTAGAAACAATTTTCAAAGAAATAGTAATTTCAAATATTTTGAAAAATAGAAGGGACAGTCATCTGGAATCCATAAACAAACACCTTCGAAAGGAAAAGACACATGTTACAAATGTGGCATGACAAGACATTAGGGACGTACTTGTCGTATGGTCAAACATTTGGTAGACCTTTACCAGGCTTCTATAAAAGGCAAAGAGAAAAATGCAGAAGAAAATTATGTTAACGAGGAAAATGCTCCTTGTCCCAGCCTTGATGTGTCTGATTATTTCATGGATAATGCTGAAATTGGAAATGATTTCATTCTTGGAGAAAACAACAATGCTTAGGTTTCCCATCTACTAGTGTAACTTATGTAATGTTTTAATGTATTTTATTTATGTCCTGTATTTTAAATTTCTAGTCATGTACTTTTAATCTCTATCATCAATAAAAGTTTGTATGATATTATTCTAAACTAATCTCAAACTTATTTTATGAAGATTTGGATCTGCATGAAGTTAGTTCTGAATATCAATGCCTTTTGGACAATGGAACAACACACACTATCTTGAAGGATAGAAAATATTTTTCACGACTAAAGTTGTTTCAAGCAAATGTAAATACTATTTCCGGGTCAGCTAAATTAATTGAAGGATCTGGAAAGGCTTGTATAATGCTTCCAAATGGAACAAAATTAA